CCCTGCGGCCCTCCGAGCCTGCACCAACATTATTTTTCTTTTCTTTGTTTTTTTTAATAAACAATTCTAGAAATAATTGGTACTCTCTGTCTGTGCATAAACATAGTACAAAAATATATAGTCCAAATTTGACAAAAAACAGACAAACCTGTGTCCATTGCAACTGTTGCTAAAGTAAATTTAAATTCCATCGCACGGTTGTTAAGAGTGGCAAAATACATTATTTTGATATTTTTTAAACTTGCGTTTTCAAGGTTCATATTTTACTGTACAGTATCATGTAAAGGCACTTTATAAATAAAATATTAAAACTTCACTGCAGTGGTCTGTCTGCAGTCAGTATACTACGGACTGCTTTTCCTCGCTCTCCCTTCCCCACCCCAAAAACAAACCTTATTTACAAAACAAAAACAAAGATAAACAATAATTTGAAAACATAATTTGCAATCCCTGTTCGTTGTCGCAGCTCCATACACTCCCGCCCTGTAATTCATTAGACAACTGCCAAAGTTTCACTGCAAGAAAGAGAAGAAGTGAGTACAAAGTAAATCAAGAAATGTTTAGCTGATACAAAGCATTGATTTTTAAAGTCTTCAGATTATTTGATGGAAGTGGATGTTTATGTCGTTCATGAGTTCAGGGGAGGGAGGCATTCCATTGATTTTGGACAGAGTTCCATTAAATTTTCAGTGGCCTCTTGAATTATGGATGAAACAACAGAGGGAAATTCAGTGGACCAATGACCATGAAGTTATTGAGGAAGAAAACGAGAGTAAAGTTATGAGAAAATGGAGGCTGGACATGTTTAGTGGGGAATTATCAGACAAGAAATATTCTCCTTCTAATAAGTACAGAAAATGGCACAGCAGATCTGTCGACACCCGAAAAAGGGAATGTGAGAGATGTTGGAACAGCCACTTCTTATTGAAACCAAACATGCAAAACAACAACACAGTTTTCTGCAGTTTTGTTTTAAATTCCTTCCTAATAAAAGCTAAAGCAGTACACTTTTAAGAGTGTGGAGATCTGAAAGGTACATTTAAATAATGCTGGGAATAAACATATCCTCAAGTTACAGTCAGATCTAAAGCGCATGCCCACCCATAACAGAAAACTTCAAGATTGATGTACAAATTGCGACTAGTTTTTGCCGAGACTGCATTTATTTTTAAAAATTAACATTTCAGGTCGTCAGACTCTTTGTAGATTGCTATAAACATGACAATATTGTAAACTCAGTGCGTGATACATAACAGCAATCCATTGAACAAGTCAGGTAATATCCTAAACTACAAGAGCAAAAGTTAAGCAACATCTGCTGCTCCTCAACATCTGCTGCCATGAATACATTTGGACCTGTGTGTTCTTCTAAAAGTAATAACAAATCTCCCTTGCTGACAGGAGTACAGTTGGGATGTATTGGTGCATTTACAGTCTATCCCTTTAAAGCCGCTTCTTATGTTCTCACCCTCTGCAACATAACCTGTACCTCTGTCTAAGTCATTTTGATCTTTACGTCCTTGCTTACTATGATCTGTCTGTACTGCTCGTAAACAAAGCTTTTCACTGTACTTTGGTACACATGACAATAAATCAATCGATCAACATTGACATCCAGATATGTATGAATGACTGTAAATTTCTTCATTGTAAATTTAAGACTCCTGGACAGATTACATTGCATGTCTTGCTTCATTTTTTTTATTACAGGTTGCCTTACATTCATAATACTTAGCGCCTTCTAGATGTGACAGACAGTCATGTGCTAGACGTTACACTTTCATATTTGCATCATCAGATCTTCATTCTGCCCCCACATGCTCACTAGTGGATATGTTGCTTAGTAAAGGACAGCAGCAATAGCTTTCAGCTGTATAGTGTCTTTAAAGCAGTAAAAGATTCTAAAACAGCAGGAATTTAGCAGACAACACAGCACATCATAATATTTTGCTATTGCAATAGACCTGCATACAGCATTGTGCATTGTGTTTGAGTGGGAAAGGCCTCACTGTTGTGTCTTCTGATAGTTAGAATGCTATACAGATGCATAGTGCAGAAATCCTAATTCTATGGTATATACAAAAATCAAGCAGCAGCCACGTATTTTTGTCCTTCATACTTCAAGCGTTGAAGTTGGACATTACATTTTTTGTGCACAAATTTTTGTATGACACTTGTACATGATTGTTTCACTTTAGTTTCACATTCATTGCAAACAACTCAGCAAATAAGGAAATTACCAGTGAGCTTATAGCAACCAGGAAATTAAAAAAAAAACTATCAAAAGTGAATTGTCAAAATGTAATAAAAAGTGAGGGTCAACAGTACTTTAATACTATGTGAAGCAAACCAATCTGTTCAGCTCAAAACTTTAATAGGGCTGAATTAAGCCGGATTGTTGAATTTTCCTAAATGTATTCACAGCTAACAATAACACTAATGACATAAAAGCGTAAAAATCTCAAATCTGTATGAAATGCAGGATCTTGAGGAGCAGAATATAAACCATTGGACACTGGTATGTGTGCATGCAGAATACATTACAGATGGATGCTACATCTCTCTATATCTTGTCATAAATCCCTGGAAAATGTTTTCTCAGAGACACTTCCTCTCCTTTACACGCCTGAATAATCGACAAAAGCCTGAATTATTGGTTTGTGGGTTTTTTTTTAACAGCTTATTCCAGTTTATTTTAATAATCTGTTTCAATCCAGGCAAGGCTTTACCTTGTCATGTTGGATCCAGATTTCATTTCGAGCTCCCTTCCTTTTAAATGTAATTAAATAAATTAAATGTAAATTCAAATAGGGTCAAATTGGTTCTCAGGATAGAAGAATAGGATGCAGGAATTAATAGCTAAGGCAGGCAAAACCTTATGAATGATTTGAACCCAAAAGTGTGTAATTTGAACTGAATGAGTTTGTGTTGCTTTGGTGTTTATTTGCACAATTGGTCTTGAGCCTGGTGGATGAATAAGTTTTAGAAGTGACCTTATTCTCCTCTTTGCAAATGAAGTTTAATTTAAGAATCCTGATAGGCGATAACAGATTTAGCAACAAATGTTTTGCTTTAATCAGATTGAATCTTGAGGATCAGAAGATAAACCATTAGACCCTGGTGTGTGTGTGCAGAATACATGACAGATGGATGCTACTTAAATAATGCATGAGCATGTTGTAAATTAAATTATGTTGAACAAATAGGTTATTCTCCAGAACCAGCAGTCTCAAATGTTTATTATATTGTTATAACTCACTTTACATATGTTCAAAATATTGACTATGAAATACTTTTTTTCAATTTCCTTCCATTTATCTTCCCTTCAGCTAACAGTCATATTTGGTTTCTAATGTTGCTGGCTATTCTCTTAGACCTCACTGAAGTACATTTTCTTCATATGCGAGTCGAAACAGAGTGCTAGCAAGTTGTTAAACTATGAGAAGCATTCAAAACAAGCCTGATCAAATCTTTCTTTGTTAATAGTCATGCTTTGCATTGGTATCAAATAGGTAGAAATCTGAAGGGAAGACCCTTGTATTGGTTCTTAAAATGAATTTAAGTGCCGTGAAGTTGCCTCCATATAGGCCAGACTAAGTGAGTGGCTATCAATTACTGATGGCCTGACCCGATTTTCCTTATATTAAAGTCAATCTGCAACAGCTAGCTTTCTGTCCACATCTGAGAGAAATCACCCTCAGGGGATCCTCCTGCATTTTGTGATCCAGAATAATATCTCTCAGCAATTGGGAAAGCTGCAATTTTTACTCCTAATGATTTCAGTCCCACTCCGCTTGCTGTGGAGTTTCCAAGAACTGAAGACTCAGTTCACAGATCCTTTGAAAATTAAGCAAAATTGTGTGACTTAATTTTTTTGAAACTTATTTTTACTTTAATGATGGAAGTAGGCAACAACTCAACTAGGCAGAGCTGTCAGAGACACAAGGTTTCTTTTTAAAAAAATTAACCTATTTTTCAAATTCACCCTGTTCAGAAATGTTGTTACACACCTCCAAAGGCAGTGGGACTTGAACCTGGGCCTCTCGGACACCACCACTGCACCACAAGAGGACCCTTGCAAGGTTATATTATGAATCCTTAAAGAGCAAGTTCTGTCTGAGTTGGCAAGCCTAAATATGATTGTGTCGAAGTGGCCTTTGAAATGGCCAAGCATGTTGCTTAGTGACATTAACCACTATAATGGCTCAAGGAAAAGGCCCATCACCTCGACCATCATAGTCCAAAACTGAGACTTTGTTCTTTTGATTATGCACAAGACAATGCTGCAACCCAGGGGGTGTTCTGCTCTGGAGCATCCATCTTAACTCTAATTTTTTTTCCATTGAATGGTGTCCATCCCACTGCCACTCTGGCAGGGCACAATGTCCTCTCTAGCACTTCTTCATCAGTGATGGTGTCCCTCCAAGTGAAGCTTATGTAGGCAACATTAATTTTACATTCTATTTGACATCTGTGCTGTAGCTAGGATCTGTTGTGTTTCCACTGGTAAATGTTGTACTTTTAGGGAAGATAATACTTTTTTACTGTTTCCTATTTTAAGAAAATCTGGTTATCCATAAAGCCAGGGGCATCGTGTTTATTTTCTTGCATGGAATATAGGTGTTGCTGACAAGGCTTACATTTGTCGCCCATTCCTAATTGCCCTTGAACTGGATGGTTTTCTAGGCATTTCAGAGGACAGTTGAGCATTGCTGTGGCTCTGGAGTCACCTATAAGCCTCACCAGGCAGAATTCCTTCCCTGAAGGGCATTAAAGAAACAGGTAGAATTTTACAATTCACCATGGATTACATGGTCACCATTAAACTAGCATTTAATTTCTGATGTGTTCAAATTTCACTATCTGCCATAGTAGGATTTGAATCCATGTATTCAGAACATTCGTTTGGGCCTCTTGATTGCTAGTCCAGTAACATGATGAGTATGCCATCACCTCCCTCAGCAGAATAACCAATGCATTCCTTTCTCCTTCTCCAACAGACATTAATAAAGAGGCTAGGATTCAGCCAGATGCTCCGGTCCCATTGAGTCAAAGAGCTGAGGTAATCTTACCATCTCCTGGTACAAGTTTAACGACCAGTGACTCCTCCATATCAGAACATCGGCAGAAGAAGTTCACGATACGCTCTTTGGATCTCAACAGTGATTTGCTATATTCAGGAGCTGCTTGTTTACCAGGTATTCTCCATCCCAGTCAAAATGTCAGCATCAAATGTAAGAACAAGGACACATTAGAAGCTGAATCTTCCAAAGGCTATGGGACTCTGGTACTGGGCAATATGGGGACAAGAGACCACACGTGTCACCAGGAGGAATGCTGGCTTCCAACTGGCCACCTTGGGATGGTGGGTGCGTTCCTGAAGCATGAGCCTCAGAGAACCTGCAGCATTTGGGGTCAGTTCCACCAAGAGAGGTGGATGCTGCTGATAAAGGTGGGAGAGTGCGAGGGCACGTAAAGATGGCAGTGCCCTATGAGCAGTTCAGCAAACTTTTGAAAAAAAGAGAATGGCTGTCATTGTGAATGGGGAATCTCTGACACAGGACTGCTCCTGGCTTTGGCTGTGACCTTCTGATCCCCACAGCACTGTGAGTGATAGGGTGAATGATAGGAAGTGATAATAGTCACCCCAGCTTACCCCTGGGAGGTTGTCTCCAGGTATCTGCCAAGGTGTGGCCTCAGAGGAGAGTTTATCTGCTGTTGGGAAGATCCCAGCAGCTTCCCCATTTTGACCCCAAAGGAAACACTGAATTTTATGAACTGGGAATCCGCAGTATTCAAAACTAGTGACTAAAACCAGTTTGACCTGACTTCCAGGAAAAGCAGCCTGAGGTGGGGAATCACAGAGACATTGAAATTACGTGTATTATTAGGTCATTCAGCCTTTGTGCCTATCCTGCCATTCAATACGATCATGACTGATCTGCTGTCTCAATACCATATTCCCACTTTCTCTCCATACCCCTTTAGATGATATCTAAAAATGCCTCTGTCTCTTTCTTGAATTTATTCAGCCTTCTGTTGTAAAGAATGTTGTTGGTTCACTACCCTTTGAATAAAGAAATGTTTCTTTATCTTGTAAATGGTCAATGGTAAATGACTAAAAAGGTCTACCTTGTATCCTGAGAGTACGTCCCTGCAGCATTGAGAAAGCAACATAACATATTATTTTCTCCTGCTGCTTCCAGTCCCACCTCTTCAGGACCTGGTAAATTTAGCCCATATTTACACGTATGAATTACAACATAATAACATGCTCAGAAAAAATGTGCAGCTCAATGAGGCATTGTTCTCTAAAAATAGCTGTTTTTGAGCTAGACATTCTCAAGGACTGTGCATCTTAAATCTCTAAGGCCGCATGATCTCCCAAAATGCAAAGAAAATTCTATTCAATAAACACTTTGCAAAATTAATCAATAGGTTATGAAATTGTTATAATCCTGGAGAAAGCCAATATTACAGCGAAGTAAAACCATTTTAGACAAAACAAATTCAATGACTGTAACTCAATAGTGAAAATATTTTGCTGGAAATTTTAACATAAAAAATATGATTAAGGGATTAATGCAGCAAATATAGGTCAGACAGCCTAATATGGGAAACATTTGGAGACAATAATTGGCGATAACATTATTTGGCATTTGGAAGAGTGCACACTATATGATGAAGTCAGCATGGATTTTTTTGAAGGTAAAGGACCTTCATGGACCAATAGGCCAAGGAATGGCAGTGGAGTTTAATTTGGATAAATGTGAAGTATTGCATTTTAGTAAGGCAAACTAGGCAGGACTTACAATGTAATGGTAATGGTAGGACGCTGGGGAGTGTTGCTGAACAAAGAGACATAGGGGTGGAGGTTCATAGTTCCTTGAAAGTGGAGTTGCAAGTAGACAGGGTGGTGAAGAAGGTGTTTGGTATGCTTGCTGTTACTGGTCTGTGCACTGAGTATACGAATTGGGATGTCATGTTGCAGCTGGACAGGACATGGTTAGGCCACCTATAGAGTCCTGCATTCAATTCTGATCTCCCTGCTAAAGGAATAATGTTGTTAAACTTGAGAGGATGCAGAAAAGATTTACAAGGATGTTACCAGGACTAGAGGGTTTGAGTTATAAGGAGAGGCTGAATAGGCTGGGGCTTTTGTTCCTGGAGCATCGGAGGCTGAGGGGTGACCTTGTAGAGGTTTATAAAATCATGAGGGACATGGATAGGGTGAATAGCCAAGGTCTTTTTTTCCCAGAGTGGGGGAGTCCAAAACTAGAGGGCATAGGTTTAAGGTGAGAGGGGTAAGATTTAAAAGGGACCTGAGGGACAACTTTTTCACACAGACAGTGGTGCGTGTATGGAATGAGCTGCCAGAGGAAGTGGTGGAGGCTGGTACAATTACAACATTTAAACAGCATCAGTTTGGGTATATGAATAGGAAGGGTTTAGAGGGATATAGGCTAAATAGGGACTAATAGGGAATATAGACAATGGGACTAAATCAGTTTAGCAAGTTGTTTGGGTTAAATTCAGTCCACTCCTCCACTGTCCAATACATCATCGATTCTGGTCACATTGGCAATTTCAACGTTCCCTCCCTCTAGCCACATGAACCTTCACTGGTGACAGTGCAGATTCCTGAACAGTGGGTGAAAGCCATCATTCCCAATGGGAGAGAGCTACAGCTGGAGGTGAGTGTGTTGCATACTCTTTTCCGTTCCAGCTAGAAAACAGGGAAATCTTACACGGAGAGCAGGGCCCTGCCAGCTCTATAAACAGGAGCTGCATGTCGTAATTGAGCTGGTAGAGGGAATCCATTCCCAGGACGAGGCTTGCTGCACCAATATCCCTGCAGGTCTGAAAGAGCAAAGCTTGACTGCTCTCTTTAAGCAGGAAACACAGCATCGTGGCAGAGATCCTGTGATTTCAAAGAAGATGATGAGTTTCTTCTGTAACTTGATAACAAACTCAGAGCGAGGGTGCACAATCCCCAGCTGGATTAAAGCCTAGCAGCTAATAGTTGGTTTATGAAGCCCTCACTCCCTGCAGAACAGCATTTGGAGCAGTCCTCTGCAGGACCACGGTTGTCTTCAGCCTCCAACATTTGCCAGTTTACTGGCTATCTTTCCTCAGCTGGGCTAAGATAAATCAAAGGAAGTAGGAAGTCCTCTGGAGGAAACTAGGAAAATGCAGAACTCTGAGGAGAAAGAGGCAATTGGAATTTTTGGACAATTGTAAAGTTCAGGATGCTGGGTTGAATGGCCTGTTGTGCTGTTTCCTTATATGATTCTATGATATACTTTGTGTGGCGTTATTTGGAATGCAGCCTGAGAACCTTGATGATGATGGTAATGAGACTTGATTTGATAGTGCTGGAATAAATTGACCATTGATGCTGTCATGCCTTAGGTATTAGCTCTCACTGCTGACATTTTATCTGATGCAGTCTTGCATATAGGGAAAATTGCACTAGACATTTGCCACGAATATAGGAGTCAGTTACGAATCGCTTGTAACTCATTGAGGTGCTGACTGTTCCAAAAAGTTCTGTAAATTCCTTCCATTAAAAAAAAATACTGATTTCATCCAAATTCTGGTCTCCAAACAGTTGTTTCCACCTGGTTGAATTGAGTTATCATGCTGTTGAAATTCAAGATACAATTACTAATATCTGGGAGAGAGAGTTGCTAAATGGAGATGCTGTCCTCTCTGTGAAGAAAGATAAATGGAAGCGGTGGGGGGGATATGTTGGCGGTGTGGGGGTGTGTTTAGAAAAAGGTGGCTTGATGCCCTGCCCATTGCTATCCTCTTTCACTGAATCTTTACCAATGGTAGGGTAGGTATCACGTAGTCTACCCACTCTTGGATCAATTGAGATCCTTAAAGGACACTTACGGGCTTTCTCCCAAGACTGCTAGTCACTTACCATTGTCAGCACATGCCTACAATGCTGAGAAGACATCCCTGCTATTTGACAACTCTGCCTCCAATGGCAGCCCTGTCCCAACAGTGATCATCAACATCCCACCCTTCCTGCAGCTCGTTGCCAGGACCTGTCTGACTGGAACCGGTGGAACCACTCTATTTTAGCTCAACGTTTGGCTTCCAATGAACTGCTTGTAGATCCAAAAAGTGACAATTGCTGCTGGTGCCTGATTGGAGAATTGCCTGCAGTGTAGCCGTCCAATTAGCTCACGGTTTCCAGGACAGGCAGAAGTGGACTTTCAGCTGGTGAGTAGGCCCGCTGCCTCTGATTAAAATTCCAGTTGAATTGTTTTACCAAAACAAAAATCCATTGGTTATGTACCTCCACCATGTGTAGCAGGTAAGTAACCTAAACACTTATGCACCCACTGGAACCCATTGGAACTTGTAGCAGATTATTGGTTCTAAAATGCTAAGACAATTTTTAAATTTGATACTGAGTTGTTTGGAACCTTTATATTAATTGGAAAATGCATGCATTTGTGGAAAATGGCAATTCATGAATGGCGGTCCAGCCACAAATGCATGAGGAATCTGAAAAACTGTGTTCTTCTACATGTAATGAAAAAACCTCATCCTTGGACATTATTGCAGCGATAAACAAGCTCTTCATTCTGAAACTGAGACTCTTATTACATGTACATATGTTTTATGCATATGATTTATCATCCTGCACAGAGAGAGGGCATCCCATTCCAGCCAATAATCTCCATTTAGCAACTCTGTCTCCTAGATGTTAGCAATTGTATCTTGAATTTCAACACCATGATAATTCAATTCAACCAGATGGAAACAACTGTCTGGAGACCAGCATTTGAATGAAATCAGTATTTTTTTTCAGTGGAAGAAATAGGTTTGGCAAAATATGATATTAAGGATGTGCCAAAGTGATCTAATAAGAAAACTGGGTGTCTGGCGTAGCATGAATCTATTCAGTAATTTTACATTCCTTTCTAATCTTTCTAGGGAGCAGAGATAAGGCAGGGAGAGCCGTGATACAAGTCTGCAGTGATAACAGGTTTTTGCAGAATCCAACCTGCACCAATGATGACCTTGCCAGGCTCCTCCTGTACTTGTACAACATCCCCAGGTGAAGCTTTCCTTTTTTGTTGATGCTTGATTACAGAAAGTCTTTGCAAACTCGGAGGAAACACATATTTTTCAGCACTTATTTCACATTGGGGAAAATAAAGCCTGACTCTATACTGGATAGATCGCAGATGCAGACTGAAGTGTTTAGTAGCAGGAAAATTACATCTAGTCATAACAGTGTTGGCCAGCCAAAAAATAAAATGCAACTCCACTCAGACTTGGCTGGATTGTTCAGACCAGGCAGGAAGTGAGGTTTATTCAACAAAGCTCAGTCTTGGCTGATTTAGATACTTGCTTTAAAAAGAAAGTCCTGTGGTTCAAGAGGTTTGATGCTGAAACAATGGGAAACTCAAAACTGTGGCATATTCTCACTAGCAGTATTAACTTCAAACTCAACATCTTCAGTGCTCATGTACAAAAAAATGGAGTGAGGGGAGTGTAATGGTAATGTTACTGGACTAATAATTCAGAGGCTTGGACTCATGATCTGGAGACATGAGTTTAAAACCAATTATGGCAGTTTAGGGAATTTAAATGCCGTTCCTTAATAAAATCTGTAATAAGAGAAGAGATTAATCTCACCATTGATGTTCATAAAACTACAAAATTGTTGTTAAAAAGCCACATGACCTGTGTATGTACTTTATGGAAGAAAATTTGTCATTCTTTCCTAGTCTGGCAGATGTGTATAAGACTAACTCATTACTACCATGGGAAATAGCTGAACCCACTGGGATGAAGCACTGGGGCTCACAAAGGCAGAGAATGTACTCTGATCAGTGGACTTTAGTATTTATTACAGTAAGTGGTTGTGTAGCATGACCTGCTGGCTGACCTGCTGAGTCCTGAAGGACATAGCTGCTAGTCTAAGCCTGTGATAGTCTGAGTGCAGTAATCAATAAAAGGAAGTAATCAATGTGGTCTCATATTCACTGATCTTGTTGATATGGCCTTGTCTTCACCAGGCAATGTGGCACAACAACCCACTGTTAAACGGGATGGATTGAGAACAGATCTAGCAGCTCAAAACTGAGCCATCGGCAGCAGCAGAATTTCATTCAGCCATAATCTATAGGCCCAGCATATCCCTCACTTTAGCTTGCCACCAGGGTGGGAGACCAAGCCTGACAGTGCTTTCCAAACCTGTACCCTCTATGCAGCACCTGCAAGCTCCTCTCTAAGTCACTCACCATTGCGACATGGAAATGTAGCACATTCCTCCCACCCTCGTCGGGTCAAAATCCTGAAACTTCCTCCATAACGGTATCTACTTCCTAAGCACTGCAACAACTCAAAATCTCTGTAGCCAATTTGCACAACCTGAAAATGACAAGCTGCCTGTATACTAAATATGATTTCTGGGTACGGTAGATAATCAGAACAGTAAGGGGCTGTCAATGTCAGCGTGGAGTTCTGTTATGCAATTGGCTTTGATTTATTTATTTCATTCAGTTACATGTAAATGGTCTTTGCTAATATTGTCAAAATGAGGCAATAAAATTGCATTCATTGTGGTGTGCAAATTTTATTTTGTGTCACTTCAGTGTCCTGTTGTTCTAAGAATGTGTTGTCTGTTCCATTGTATGTGGAATAGCAGCATATAGAAATCAACATTAACTGTTTAGTACTGCCACCTACTGAGAATAAAGCTTTAATTTTGAATGTACTTAGAAAGTAAAGATAGACTTCCCCTTTTTATATGCTGTTCGCAGCCTTGGGATATCACAAAACACTTTGAAATCAACTAACTATTATTAAAATGTAGTCACTACTGTAATGAAGAGAAATGCAACAGCCAAGTCCCAATGATGTGATAATAATGATCCGATCATCTGTCTTTGCGATATTAGTTGAAGGGTAAGTATTGGCCAGGGCATAGGGGAGAATCCCTTAACCTTTCTTTGAAACTGTGCCCAAGATATTTTTATACATCATCTGAAAGAGACATTTCCAACCAGGCAGCAATTGCATAGTATTGCACTGAAGTGTCAGACTTGATTTTGTAACTTACGTTGCTGGAGTGGGATTTGAAACCAACCTTCTGGTGTACAGACGTGAGAAATGCCAGACCATTAAGTTGCCTCCCATAATTTATCCAAATATTCAACACTAGTTTTCAGCAGCCAGCAATTATTGTCTTATGGATAGTTTATAGGTTTTGGCAGTGCTAATACTGTTATATACATTAACCAACCTCAATTGCTTTGAATATAGTAATGAACATTTTCCATGAATCACTGCGGTCTCAGGTCATAATGCTGCTACAACAGTATTAGGTGGGGAATTACAGGATTTTGACGAAGTGTCACAAGAGATATCGTTATAAATGTATATCAAGATGTTCTGAAGATGATTTTGTTGTCATCATATTATTCACTTTGCTCATCTATGTTTTTTTAAATGCCCCATATGGAACTAATGGTTAAAAATACAGATGGTTATAAGCTAACAACAGTTAAAGAAGAGTGGAAGTTTCTCATATTAGTTGTGAAGTGAACAAATTCCAGCTGGAGTTCCCCTGACATTTATTTGGAAACTGTACTTTACTTCTGTTTTTTGGATGTATAAAAAGTGATTATAAATTGTTATTGAAAGCAGAAGTGCAAACTTGATTGCACAACGAAGATTCTTTAGTTTTGTTCTTAATGTTTCTTCTTCCAGGAAGGAAGTTCGAGATCTGGGATTAACAATCGTTATAGATGCCAGGAGGCGTCCACCTCAATTTGCATTATTTAAAGCTTTAGGATTGCTTCAGGTGAACATGGATAAATATTTGTTATGAAATGACTGCATTGTATTTTTAGAGGTTTGTTCTTCCTTCTCTTTGTTTAATAATGTTAGACAGCAAAAGAATAACTCATCCATATATCCTGATGCATCAACATTTTGAGTAACACAATGAATAATTTTCCTAAATAAAACCGAAAGAACTGAGGATGCTGTGAATCAGGAATAAAAACAAAGTTGCTAGAAAAGCTCAGCAGGTCTGGCAGCATCTGTGAAGGAAAAAACAGAGTTAACGTTTCGGGTCTGGTGACTTCTCCTCAGAACTGTGAATAATTTTCCCACCTCACCCAGAAACCATTTGACCTTTTGGGTTGGCGAAAATGCCCGGACCAGTTTAAGGAAAACTAATTTGGAGAATTCCCTTCTGACTCTTCTTAGATGATGGAAACTAGTCCAAGAGATCAATCTGGCCTTGATTTAGGTTACAGGAGGCTTGCCTTTTGCAAGAAAGTGATTTTCAATGCAGCCAGAAACTCACATGGAGTTCAGGGGATCTCTGTTCACTGCAAGTCCTATTCCACAGGTTCATTATTCTCTGGGGAAAAATAGGCACATCCTTCAATCAAATTTGGTTCTTCCTTTCCACCAATTGGGATTATAATCCTTGATCCTCCATAGAACCACAGAAATGATACAGCACAGTAAGGAGGGCATTTGGCCTATCTTGTCCAAGTAGACACAAAGACACCCAGATGCCCTTTCTAATCTCAGCTTCCTGCACACAGGCAATAGCCCTGAAACTTACAGCACTACTGGCACTTTTGTGTCTTTGCCTCCATCATCAACTCAGGCAGTGAATTCCAGGCACCCTGTGCATAAAAAAAAGTTTTTTTCCCCATGTTCCCTATGATCATTGCACCACTTAGCTTGAATCTATGACCCCTGGTTTTTGAACTCTCTGCAAATGGAAGAAAAGCTCCTCCTGTCTGCTCTATCTCTACCCCTCACAATTTTGTATACCTAAATCATGTCGCCCCTTAGCCTTCTCTGTTCCTAATCTATTTGAAATGATTTCACAATCGAATAGTCTTATCTCTTTGTTATCTTATAAGTTTCAAATAAACTGAAATAACATTCATAACTTGTAACTGAAAACATCATTTAGCTAAATCGAAAGTTCCTTACAGTAGGGTGTGCAATGCAATCTGCTTTGACACATCCACGTAGCGGTTATCACCAAATTTTCCTTCTCTAATCACTTCATCAGTTTCCCACATTATCAATTTCAAAGTATTATTAATAATATATTTATCTTAAATAATGCAAAAACAATTTACAGATAGACCCTAAATTTGAATGTTCCAGTCAGCCATTGCCTTAAACATTATTCTCCCAATCTACCTCCAGTTCAAATCCTTATTCCAGCCTGGCTGACCCTATTACAGTCACTGCAGTATATCATATAAGTGTTGTGACTATGTGATATTCGTCCTTACGTTCCATGTGGAGGATGATTCAAACCCACATAGTAAAAATGAACTGTTGCCAATGTGAAAAATATTTCAGCAGTTATCATAGGTTCACCTAAACAAAAGGCTTGATTGACTAAGTTGAGTTCAGTTGCAATATCGAGCTGGAAATGTGATATTGTTTCTCAGTTTAGAAATATGCATTTGTATTAATGTCTCTAATTACTTTCTGGTTCAAATCTGCAGGACTTTGCTCCCCACTCCATTCATTGTGTGCTGATATTGACAGAGAAGGAGGCAACTCTCAAACTGGAGAAATATCCAAGAATATCTGTAAGTGCTATTGAAACTGCTCAGGAAATCCGAGTAGAATGTATTACCAAAGGTAAACACAAATGAAACCCAATCTCGATCTCCTCCCCTTCTCTAGTGACCAGGATTTGTGGGGCCTAGTCTGTCTCTTTCAACTTTGCTTCTTAAGTGAAGAAACAAAATTTTTACTTGTCAACTCCACTTGCTTGGCACTTCTTAATGGTCATTTTTGCAAAAAGTCAAATTTATTGATGTGACAATTTTTTTTCTGCCAGCAGGTTGTCTATGTTTTCTCTACACCTCAATTTTGTTTTTGAAATTCATTGTTTAATGTTGTGCCAAGCAAGATCTTGGACAATTGCTGCTCGGTTTCTTGCTGAAGGGAAATGAGAGGTCAAAAAGAAGTCTGATTGCCTTCCAAAGATACGGCAAAGAGGGTTATTTCTGTTTAAGCCTTGGAATGCTCAGCAAATCTGGCAGCATCTGCACAAAGAGAGGCAAAAGTCAGTGACCCTTCATCAGAACTAACGTGGATTGTTGATCTCAAGCATTCATGCTGTTCCTCTCTTCACAGATGCTGCATTTCCTTCTGAGTATTTCCTCAGTAGGGCAAACAGGTCACACTCGGTGGATCACTTTGTCCGCTATCCACTCAGTTCAAGGGTAGCTAAGGCTGAGCAGCTGGTGTTGTTAGTGACGCCCACTTAGCATGAAAAGGAACTTTGGGACCTGATACCATCCTGGCAGCAGCACTGAAACATTGTGCTGGAGAAGATGCTGCACCCGTGACCACACTGTTCCAAACAGCCACATCTGTGGCATCCTACTGACAATGTCAAAAGTTGCACAGGTGTGCCCTGCTCACAAAAAGCAGAACTAATCCAATCTGATCATGCACAGTCCTATCAGTCTGCTCTTCATCATCAGCAAAGTGAGAAGTCACACATTACCAGATTACTGTCCAAATGCTTTACTTAATTTTAATGTCCACCCCAGTCCAACACCGACATCTCCACATCAGTAAAGTGATTGAAGGCATTGTTGCTGCTATTAAGAGGTACTCACTCAGCAATAACCTGTTCAGTGATGATCAGTTTGGGTTCTGCCAGGGCTTATTAGTTCCTGACCCAATTACACTGTTGATCCAAACACATGTTTAAGAGAAAAGGTAAAATTTATCATATCAATGCAGAACATAAAACTCAATTGGGGGAAGACTCTTCACTGGGGTTAGAGCCGTACCTAGTACAAAGGAAGTTGTTTTTGGTTGTTGGAGATCAATTAACACAGCACAGATCATTACTGCAGAAGTTCCTCAAGGTAGTATCCTAGGCACAACCATCCTCAGCTGCTTCATCAATGACCTTCCTTCCATTATAAGATCAGAAGCAGGGATTTTCGTTGCTGATTGCTGAAGCTGTTCATGTTCAATTGCAGAAAGACCAATACAATGTTCAGGCTTGGCCTATTAAATTGCAAGTAAGATTTGTGCTATACAAGTGTTAGAAAATAACCATATTAAATAAGAGAGAATCTAATCATTTTCCCATGACATTTAGTGGCCTATCTGTCACTGAATCCTCCATTTTCAACAACATGAGTGTTATTGTTGGCCAGAAATTAACCTGAACCAGCTCTATCAATACTGTGGATTAAGAATTCTGCTGTAAGTAACTCAGATCCTGACTCCCCAAAAGCATGTCTTATATCTGAAGGGCACAAGCCGGAAATTTCATGAAATACTTTCCACATGCCTAGATGAATGTAAACTTAGCAGCACTCAAGAAACGCAACACCATCCAAATCAAAGCAGCCCACTTGATAAATAGCTCAACCACTGCATTAAACATTCATGCCTTCCACTGCCATTGCAAAATGGTAGCAAGATGCCCTGCAATGACTTCTCATGGCTTCTTCAACTGCACTTTCCAAACCTGTATGAGCTAACACAAGAACACATGCCAATTCCCCTCCCTCTCACATACCATTTTGACTTGGAACTATATTGCCATTTCTTCGTTGTTGCTGGGTAAAAAAGTGGTCATTCTCTTGAGAATAGCACTGTGGGTGTACCTACATCATATGGGCTGCAGTACTTCAAGAAGGTAGCTCATCAACACCTTCCCAAGGCTAAATGCGGATGGGTATCAGATGTTAGTCTTTCTCGTGATGTGCACATCCCATGAAAGAAGAAATAAAAATAAAATAAAAATAGATTTAATTCAGTGAGCTGCACCCTAATGTCCATTTTTATTTACTCTTTATTTCCATGGAAAAGCACACAGTCCCGGCTTATGAAATCGGGCAATTGTAGAAGATTAAAAGAAAAGAGAATTAGGGGTAGTTGACTTATTCAGGTGCAGCAAATGTCTAACATTTGTCATGCATTTATAGCCTTGCAAAGAGATTTGAGTGTTTTTATTCTTCTTATGTTTTATAAAACACGAACACATTATGACGGAACTCAAATGAACGAAAAGAACAAATGCAGATGAAATCTCCTGTGTCTGTAACTCCTCATGTTCTTTTCATTAATTTAATTTGGAGAAGTCTCCAGGTTTATCGACTTGACTATTTTACAGGTTGGGTTCAATACAATCAATGCTCCTTACCAGGGAAAACTAGACCAGAGAAGCAATCTTTCTCAGATAAAAATCTTTTCTAAAGAAAAAATGAGTTCTGTTCTTCTATTTGTAACAACTCTTTAACATATATAACATGAAATATATATTGTCTGTTATTTTTTGTTTCATCAGATGGAAGTTTTGACTTCCTTGAAAGCTCTGAATAAGTTTATTGACAACAACCAGCTGACTGAGAATCTGGAGGGGACATTTCCCTACAACCACTCTGAGTGGATTCAGTTCCGTATGGTCAGTAATATATCATGAAAAATGCTTTACAAAAATGTAGATTGCATTACATTTTGTATTCCTATCTGTACTCCCAAAATTAGATATGTTTGATATGTTAGATGTTTATATATGATAGATTTGTTTTTTTCCATTGGCTACATGTCTTTAAATGTGAAGTCCTATTGTTAACTTCATAATGTAGTTGACAATGTATCTCTGATGACATTTCTTATCTATTTGGCTACTTCATCCACGTTGGGCTTGCACTAGGCTGGTTGGTCAGGGTCATGAAGGGTCTTGGGAGAGTATATCATGATTGTTTGTGAGACGTGATAGAATGCAAAACATCAGGCAGAATCAGGAACAAGAACAAAGTTGCTGGAAAAGCTCAGCAGGTCTGGCAGCACCTGTGAAGGAAGAAACAGAGTTAATGTTTCGCGTCTGATGACCCTTCCTCAGAACCCTGTTCTGAGTGTTCTGTGGAAGAGTCACCGGACCCGAAACGTTAACTCTGTTTTCTCCTCCACAGATGCTGCCAGACCTGCTGAGCTTTTCCAGCAACTTTGCTTTTGTTCCTGATTCACAGCATTCGCAGTTCTTTCGGTTTTTATCAGGCAGAATCATATTTTTCAGGCAATTGTAAGATGACATTTCAACAATTTGTTCATGGGATGTACAAGCCACAGACAAGGTTGCATTTATTTTCCAACCCTCAGTGGCACTGTAGGTCTTTCTATTTGAAACATTGCCACCCTTAATGTGACCTACACAATGGTATTAGGTAGACAATTCCATAATTCTGACCCACTGAATTAAACTGGTGTGTGACCTGGAAGGGAGCATGGAGCTTCTAATGTTCCTCCATAACATTGTCACTCTGGTCTTGGTGGTAGATATTGGAACAGAGGCGAGTGCTTTTGAACTAACCTTGGTGATTTGCTGCTGGTACACTCTATTGATCATACGTACTGCAGCCATCAGTGTAACAGTGATGGAGGACATTGATATTGAGTCCAGAGACAGGGAATAAGTTAAGTTGACTGCATTGTTCTGGATGGTATCGAGCATATTGAGTGTTATTACAGTTTATGGCAAGTGAAAACACATGCTTCACTAAAGCTTTGTAGGTGAAACCGAGGCTCAAAGGGGTTGGAGCTGAGCTGCTCACAGCAGGGCACATAATTTTGTCCTGCACTTATAAACGAGGTGTAGATATGAATAGTCCAGTTTAGTTACTGGTGACCCTTACAAGGGTGCCAGTCTTCCAAAAATATGTTAACTTGTCATGGGTTACACTACAGCTGTGGCATCTTGCAGTGTGGAAATTTGCCATCCATTTGCTTTCAAAACAACAATGCTTATAGCTCACAATTTGTTGGTTGAAGAGCATTTTGGAACAGCATGAGGATGTGAAAGAAACTATATGTAATTTGTAATTATGGTTACCAGAGTAATGGGGCAAGATACAAAGCCTCAGGGAATTGTCCGATTACATGGTAGGCTTTATTGCTTAACCACATGATTTCTGAATCTACAATTCACTCGAACAAAATTTTCCATCAATAACTCTCCTGGGAAATGTTGTGGAAGTGAAAAGGCTTCACTGTCAGAATTTTTAAAAAATCTTTGAAAAGTCAGTTTTTCAGAATGTTTGGGTTTGTAGAGGGCTTTGACATGAATGTGCAGATAACCACATGGGAATATCATGTTGCGGCAGAGACCTGGCCCACAAGAGGCATAAACTATAGATGGATTCAGGTGGCTGGATTTTCCTTCCTTTTTAGTGACCGGTCAGTGATTAGCCAGAGTGTGCACTCACTGTCTAATTAAGGCTGGTAGATGGGCTCCTGAGATTAGGAGGACCAGTAGGATATCCTCCAGCAAGACACATTGGCAGCTCCACCATCAAAGGTGGAAATTGCCAATGCATGTGGGAGGGAGAAGGGAAGCCTCTATCTTGAGGAGCCTTCCAAACACAACTTAAAAACACGCAAATTCAAAGAATTAACAGCTGGCAGGCCATTCTCAAGGAGGATTAACCCCTCCCCCGCAGGGCATGCTGCAGCTGGAAATGTAGCAATTATGGCTTAATGACTGGGGTGTGGGGGAAGGGTGGCTCCAAAAAATTCACTGGAGCACACAACCAGCCATCTCCACTCTCTGGTTCTGCTTTGGCGACCACAGGCATCCTGCTGTTGTTTGGGAAATTTGAGTTGGTGTACGGGGAGGCCTTAATAAACACCTTCATTACCTTTATTGGCTTTCTACAGCCTGCAGACAAGTAACAGTTCGGTCTCCGCCCTGCGATATCGAAAATGGCTCAGGGTGGAACCATGTTACCAATCTGTCATTCCGGATGGCAGCAGGAATCTCTGGAGTCATCCCTCCAGCTTTGACCTCAGTGGGCTTTGGAATTCCAGCCCAAGGTGTTAAGAAAACACGGAGAGGAAAGAAAGGAGGTGGAGTGGCAGAGGAGAATACTACAGTGCTGGAGAAAGTGGATGTTCTGGAGGAGTCAAGGACTGAATCTATTTGGTTAGAGTCAAGAAATAAGAGTTATTATTATGCCACTATGTTTATGTTACAGGCCCCCAAATGTGAGAAGCACAGCAAGTTGTTAAAACTATAGTGACAGTGGGAGACTTTAATGATCCTAATGTAAACTGAGTTAGAAATCTTCTAAAGGGAAGGGAAACAGTTTCTGAAGTGCACTCAGCTGAATTTTATTGATCAATATGTTTTTGTTTCAACAAAGATGGATGGTTGCAAAATCTCATTCTGGATTCATGAGTTATTTCAGGTGGATCAAATGTCTACAGGGAAACATTTCATTACAAGCTTTAGATTATTTATGGAATCAGGCAAGGAACAATCTAGAGTACAAATACATAATTGTAGCACAGAAAATTTCAGCGGGATGGCAACTGAGCTGACCTGGGAAACCTGGAATCTAAGATTGGAATGCAAAACAGTAAAGGGACAAAAGGGTACCATTAATGAGGGGACCATCACTTGATAAATAAGGATAGCAACATCCAAGGCATAAGATTCAAAATTAATGCAACTTTGATCAAAATACTGAGCACCTACTCTGTGAGTTTTATGGATTTGTAAATAATATATACAAATTTTACTTTGAAAATTTGCTTTAAAGAGTGCAAGAAGGATTACTTATATTATGGATTAGTAATCCAGATGTCTAGACAGATGATCTAGAGACATGAGCTCAGATCCATATTATAGGAAAGATGTGACCAGAGAAGGTGCATTTACCAGAATGTTGCCAGGGCTGGAGAGTTTTAGTTAAGAAGAGAGATTGGACAGGCAGGTGTTATTTCCCTTGGAGCAGATGATTTAGATGTATAAAATAATGAGGAGCACAGACAGGCTAGACAGGAAGAAACTTTTCCCCTTGGTGGAGGGATCAAAAAACCAGGGTAAGGGGTAGGAGGTTTAGAGGGGATGTGAAGAAAGGTTTTTTTTCACTCAGAGGGTGGCGAGAATCTGGAACTCCTGACTTTAAGGTTGGCAGAGGCAGAAACCCTCATAACATTTAGGAAGTATTGAGATGTACTGTTGCAATGCCAAGGCATATAAGGCCATGGGACCAGTACTGGAAAATGGGAGTAGAATACTTAAGTGGTTGTTTTTAACCAACGCAGACTCAATGGGCTGCAGGATGAAAATATTTCGACCTGTATGATGCTGCGCCATTTGAAAATCATTCTCATGAAAGGGAAGCCAAAGCCTGAACTCTCCGGGTATCGAGGAAATAGAAAATAAAGAAACAAAATGAAAAAGAAAAGAAAAGAGGCAAAGAACGAGTTAGAGAAAAGACTTACAGCTAATATAAAAAGGAATCTAAAAGACTTCCGTAGACATTTAAACAGTAAAAGAGTAATAAAAAGAGGGGTGGGGCTAACTAAGAGTGAAAAAGGAACATATGCATTAAGGCGGGGGACATGGGTTGAGGTACTAAGTGAGTATTTTGTCTCTGTCTTTACCAAGGAATAAGTGACTGCCCGAATCATATTGAAAGTGGAGATACTGGATGGGCAAGCAATTGATAGAGGAGATGTTAGAGAAATTACTTCCACTTACAGTTAAAAAGTCAATTGGAGCAGATGCGATGCATCCAAGAATGCTGAAGAAATTAGGGCAATGGCCATAATCTCCTCATCCCCATTAGGTACAGGGGTTGTATCAGAGGACTGAAGAATGGCTAATGTTACACCATTGCTCAAAAGGGTGTAAGGATGAACCCAGCAACTAAAAGTCAGTCAATTCCAACTCAGTGGTGGGAAAACTTCTAATAATGATAATCCTGGACACAATTAACAGTCATTCAGACAAGTGTAGGTTTATGGAGGAAATTCAACACAGATTTATTCCAGGCAAGTTGTGTTCAAGCAATTGGAGTTTTTTGATAAATTAACTAAGAAGATTGATGACAGTAATGCAGCTGCTGTGTACATGGACTTCCAAACAGCAATGTTAAAGTGATACATAATAGATTTGTTCACAAAGGTGAAGCACATTGACTAAGAGTGACAGTGACACCATGGTTACAAAGTTAGTTGAGCGACAGGAACATCAGTGAACAATTGTTTTATCAGATGAAAACATGGTTTATACTGGGCGTTTTCATGTAAGTAATTAGAACTTTGGAATATAATGCAGTAAAGTATGGCAGCCTTTGAAACGCGATCAGATGAGCATCCGAGAATGAAATAGTCTGGGGCTAAGGAGAAAGTGCTAGGGAGTGAGTCTAGCAGAACTGCTTTTGCAGAGAGCTAGAATGGACAAGATGGGCTGAATGCTCCCCTTCTGTGCTGTAACTACTAGTGATTCTAGAACACAAAATGTTGGAAACCTTAGTAGAAAGATTTTTGGGATAGAAATTGTGATATGTTTCACCTGCAGCAGAATCGAGAAAATCTGAGCAGGTCTCCTTTCTCTGGAAGGAATTATGAGGCTGTGGAATGTGTGACAGGAGTTAATGACTATAACAGTGATTG